AACACGTGCTTCACACAGACAGGATGTCAGAACACGTGCTTCACACAAACAAGATGTCAGAACACGTGCTTCACACAGACAGGATGTCGGAACACGTGCTTCACACAGACAGGATGTCGGAACACGCTCTTCACACAGACAGCATGTCAGAAATGATAAGGGGGTTCTCATGGTTTTCTGCCATGACTTTAATCCAGAACACCGGCAGCGCTGACGTCTCAAACTTACCTTCAAGGCCGCCGTCATTTGTGATCTCCAGCAGTTGATCTTGCAGGAGAGCCGGTCGCAGCGTGTTATGCAGAGCAGTCGTGGTGCGTGGGAACAAGCCGTCACAATAAATCCATATTTCAAGTAGGACTCCTGGTGTCTGTTAAATGCAGCTTCCTGTTTCTTTGAAGTCGGAGACTCTTCTGTCTGGCTCTTTTACTCTGCACAGAGAAACGTTCTCAAGACGTTTGTTTTTTGTTTATTTTGCCAGTTTGGGGGTTTAATTTAAGCGGTGCCCCTTTAAGAAGGTAGTCATGTGACCGAGGCAAACATCTTGACCTGCGTCAAGAGTCATGGACAGATGTGGCGGAGAGAATCCAGTAGTTTTCCAAAATAAAACATTGTTCGGAATCGGACTCTAAATAAAACAGAACTAATGTAAGTTATTTATTCTTTCTGTGCGGCCCGGTACCAATTGACCCACGGACCGGTACTGGTCTGCGGCCCGAGGTTGGGACCACTGCTCTTGGGTAAACTTAACATTTGTTGTTTTTGTTCAGTGCATCTTGGTCACAAAGTGTTGAAACGGGTTTAAAAGTGACAACATGAGCCATTGCTCATATAAAACAATATGTAGGAGCACAATATTTACATGAAGTACCTGATGTGAAGTTTTCAGTGATTTGAACAGAAGTTCTTGGATGCTGCTGCCACACATCTGTCTCCTCCTCAGGATCATGCTGAGGCAGTGGGAGGAGACCCAAGCGATAGCGAGCCAGATGCTGGAGTCGGGCGACCACCTGCTCCTGGTGGACTTCGACAGCCACCTGGACGACATCACCAAAGACTGGACCAATCAGAAAGTGAACTCCAAGATAGAGGAGCTCTCCTCGCCCGTCAACGGGAACATTTAACTGAAGCCGCAGCCCGAGCTGCACGTATTTATGTGATTTTTTTATAAACACACAGAATCCAGGAGGAAGTTTTTATTTTAGTTTGGACAAAAACAAACATGTATAAATAATATTTACACCTTGGTAGATCTCTTTAGTCTTCCTCTTTTACGTGCTGTGCCAACCCCTAAAACTGTTCACACAAATAATCCACCATGAGTCCCTCCAACACTACGACTGACCTGCTTGTTGTTTTTCTCAAGGTTTTAGCATTTTTACAAAAAGATCTGCACTAGTCCTGCAGCAGGCGGAGACCCTGAAGACCGATGATGGCGTTTCCTCAGAAAATCCACTTCCAACGTGCAGTAAATTGTTTACCAGCACTGAACACTCAACTGCTGATAAAAACATCATTTACTAGTAAAACTACAGAATTTGTGTACACAGGAAACAATGATTTGATCATGTTTTTGTGAAGAGCTCAAGCTGATTTATTTTAACGGATGCATTAAAAACTATATTTACCCACACGGAGCAGCTGGGATTTATTTACTCCAAAGTTCAAATTGTTTAAATTAAAGTGTTAAATTTGGCTCATGTCTGTTGGCAGGATTTGTGTACTAAAACTTTGTTTATACTAACCTGTTGTACAGGTTTGAGCACAGCTGAAAAAGTTACTTTAATGCTAGATGATTTTTTATAAAAGCTTCCCAAACTAAACAAAAACACTGTTTGTAGTTTTTAACTAATTATAATAAATTCAAGAGAACATTTTTTTAATCTAATAAAACTAAGAACCATTGATTGTAAAATAAGTGCTAAAAAAATAAAATACATTCAACAAAATAAAAGTAACATGTTTACAGAGTTAATAGTTACATGAACAAGAAACATTTTCTACTGAAATACGAGGAAATGACGTGCACGTCCGTGTTTTATGAGTAAGTTTGACGTGATGAAGCAGTTTTAAACACATTTTCATAATTTTTAGTTTGCAACACATAAAAAGTGTCTTCAGTTCAAAGCACCTCCAGAGAAAGAAATGGTCCAACGAGCTCTGCCTCCACCTCCTGTTTAGTGTTTCAGCTCCACCTCACAGGACAACGTCTCTTCAGGCTTATAAACTTTTAACATTTTTATTTAAAGTCTGTTTTTGTGCCCTCACTTTCCTCCGAGGCTTAAAGCACCCGCCTCGCAAACAGCCTATTATTTTGAAACCTTAACGTGATAAACTAACTTGAGGTGGTTTTATTTTGGTGACGGCAGGAAGTAGATGGAACGCAGCTGCTGTGATGGAAATGTTTCCGCTCGGGTTCAGTCGTCTGGATTTTAACTAGTCGGGTTAGAGACGGTGGGGCAGTCGGTGGTGTCGGCGGTCAGCGGCACCGTGACCAGGTTCAGGGTGATTTCTCCCAGTGGAGACTGGGCCGCCAACGTCTGGAAGACGGACATGGTTTCGAACATGGACATGGCGCTCAGCACCTGTTGTTCAGCCCACGGGAGAGAAATCTGTGGAGGAAAAGGTGCATGCGTCTTAAAACTCATGACCGCTCTTCATTGACCAAACACATGTTTTTATTCATACTTTTAAGATGTAACCACTTTTCCATGTTGTGTCTTTGTATGCGGTGTTTAATAAAATCACAGCAAATCAAAAATAACTGAATAAAATGTAACAAACCTTAACAGAAACGCAACAGACAAGTGTTACAGTTTAACATAATCAATTAAAATGTCTACATTTTTGGCTGTAGGTCATTTATAAAATAAAACACTGCTTATTTGTAAAAAAAAATATCATTTTATGAGTGTAAATAGAGTTGTTAATTTTTAAAAATGAAAATACATCCTCACTATATTTTTCAACTCTTATTTTAAACAGTTCAAAGCTCCCACATTGTATCATAATTGTGTTTTTATTTGACTCGCTCAGAGGATCCTAAATATTTTTCTGCTGCTTCTAGATTACTTTTACCTTCATGCAGTGTTGTAGTCAAGACCAGAGTGTACCGAGACAAGACCAAGACTTTTAGGGTCCGAGACCAAGTCAAGACCAGGACCTCAAGACTTGGACCTCAGTATTTTTACAGATTATCTGTCTTGTATTGTCACGACATGGTGACAGTTTTAACAAATATGTAAAAAACATGTATAACTTTTATAAAAATATTTTTTATAATAGTTATATACAAACCGGATTCCAAAAAAGTTGGGAC